ATATGCAGTTGTGAGTACCGCAATTATGAATATCTTCTTCGGTGCTCCCTATAGGGCAACGAAGCGCTGTACTAGGTGGGCGAAACGCAGGGGGCGGGGGCTGTGCTGGGTGGTGGCTGACGCATGCGGGCGGTGCCACTGGGAATTTCGGTGGAGCTCCGTATGGGGCCACGAAGCGCTGCACTGGGTGGGCGAAACGCAGGGAGCAAGGAACACCTTACCCTGTGACGTACCCAACCCATTTGCATCATGGGGAACGAGGAGTTGGCCGAAACTTGCATGGACAATCAAATTGCAGGATCCGTTGTTTGATCTGTAAGCAACTTGGGACACGCGCCTATGGCATGATGCACAGGAGAACCATACAAGAAAGAGGGGCGACAGCTACAGGCTCGAAGAGGACATGGGGAGTCGGGAGCGAAGAGCAGGACAAAGACGTGCGGGAAACCCACTGTGCTGGGCCCCTCAGCAACCCCCGAAAGTGACGACAGTCTCACAGATCGCAGCCCCCCCTGGATTGCGAGGTCTAAATTTAGTCTGCGGTGAGTACCCACTGTGCTGGGCCCCTCAGCAGCCCTCGAAAGTGGCGGCAGCTTCACATATCACAGCCCCCCAGGGAAGGCGAGGTCTAATTTGAGTCTGCGGTGAGTACCCACTGTGCTGGGCCCCTCAGCAGGCCTCGAAAGTGGCGGCAGTTTCACAGATCGCAGCCCCCCAGGGATGGCGAGGTCTAATTTGAGTCTGCGGTGAGTACCCAGTGTGCTGGACCCCTCAGCAGGCCTCGAAAGTGGCGACCGTTTCACAGATCGCAGCCCCCCAGGGATGGCGAGGTCTAATCTGAGTCTGCGGTGAGTACCCACTGCGCTGGGCCCTCCAGCAGCCCTCGAAAGTGGCGACAGCTTCGCAGATCGCAGCCCCCCAAGGAAGGCGAGGTCTAATCTGAGTCTGCGGTGAGTACCCACTGTGCTGTGCCCCTCAGCAGGCCTCGAAAGTGGCGACAGTTTCACAGATCGCAGCCCCCCAGGGATGGCGAGGTCTAAAGTCTGCGGTGAGTACCCAGTGCCCCTCAGCAGCCCTCGAAAGTGGCGAGATCGCAGCCCCCCCCTAGTGAGTGCTGGGGCAGCCCTCAGCCACAGTTTCACACATCGCAGAGGGAAGGTGGCGGTGAGTACCCACTGCGCTGGGCCCTCCAGCAGCCCTCGAAAGTGGCGACACAGATCGCAGCCCCCCCGAGGTCTAATCTGAGTCTGCGGTGAGTACCCAGAAAGTGGCGACAGTTTCACAGATCGCAGCCCCCCAGGGATGGCGAGGTCTAATTTGAGTCTGCGGTGAGTACCCAGTGTGCTGTGCCCCTCAGCAGCCCTCGAAAGTGGCGACACTTTCACAGATCGCAGCCCCCCAGGGATGGCGAGGTCTAGTTTGGGTCTGCGGTGAGTACCCACTGTGCTGGGCCCCTCAGCAACCCTCGACAGTGGCGACAGTTTCACAGATCGCACCCCCCCCAAGGATGGCGAGGTCTAATTTTCGTCTGCGGTGAGTACCCACTGTGCTGTGCCCCTCAGCAGGCCTCGAAAGTGGCGACAGTTCCACAGATCGCAGCCCCCCAAGGATGGCGAGGTTAAATTTTAGTCTGCGGTGAGTACCCACTGTGCTGGACCCCTCAGCAGCCCTCGAAAGTGGCGACGGCTTCACAGATCGCAGCCCCCCAGGGATGGCGAGGTCTAATCTGAGTCTGGGGTGAGTACCCACCTTGCTGGGCCCCTCAGCAGCCCTCGAAAGTGGAGACAGTCTCACAGATCGCAGCCCCCCAGGGATGGCGAGGTCTAATTTGAGTCCGCGGTGAGTACCCACTGTGCTGTGCCCCTCAGCAGCCCTCGAAAGTAGCGATAGTTTCACAGATCGCAGGCCCCAGCAGCCCTCGAAAGTGGCACAGGGATGACCAGGTAGGAGACAGGCTGGCACGCAGCGACGAGCGAGGTAAACGGCAGGGGGGAAGAAGGGAATGAAGAAGGGAAGGAAGGAGACGCGCGAGCAGTGCTCTATTCAAAACGAGAACCCAACGCAGGAGGGTTGGGAAAAAAAAAAAAAAACAAACATCATGCATCCACAGTTGGGCCTTGTGGCCTTGTCTGGCTTGAGCAGGGAGCCGGCAAATCACCTAGACCTGGGCCCCAGAAGTTTGCGAGTGGGGGTTCGGCAGAGGTGTGCACCCTCCCTTTGCCCACGGCTGGGAGGGCTGAGGAGGAGGAGGCCACCTTCGACCCCCCGTCGTTAGGCGACGATTGTGCCTTTTATATCTTCGAGTATCACTGAGGAGCCCGAGGGAGGAGGAAGGGAGATGAGCACGAGGATGATGAGGACAACGATAAGGAGGAGGAAGATGATGGTGGTGGTGATGACGATGATGACGATGACAATGACAATAACAATGACAGTGACGATGATGATGATGTTGGTGATGATGACGATGATGATGATGATGATTACAGTGTTGGTGGTGATGGAGATGGAGATGTGGGTGGTGTTGATGACGATGACGATGACGATAATGGTGGTGATGATGGATGATGATGATGATGATGATGATGATGATGATGATGATGATTTTGATGATGATGATGGTGGTGATGATGATGATGACGGTGATGCCAATGATGATGATGCTGATCATGATGATGGTAGTGGCGATGATGATGATGATGCTGATCATGATGATGATGGTGGTGATGATGGTGATGCTCATGCTTATGTTGGTGGTGCTGACGCTGATGATGATGGTGTTGATGACGATGATGATGGTGATGGAGATGATGCTGATGGTGATGGTGATGATAGTTACTGAGGATGATAGTGATGATGTTGATGATGATAATGGTGATGGAGATGATGATGCTGATGATGATTATGATGGTGATGATGGAGATGGAGATGGAGATGGAGATGATGATGATGATGATGATGATGATGATGATGATGATGATGATGATGATGATGATGATGATGAGGAGGAGGAGGAGGGAGGAGGAGGAGGAGGAGGAGGAGGAGGAGGAGGAGGATGAGGAGGAGGATGAGGAGGATGATGATGAGGGAAATCGAGACACACCCATGGAGAGGTCCCGGGAGTAGCGGTATCGGTGTCTTTCTTGCTACCCCAGAAGACCTCTGATACGGACGATAGTCATGGACCCGTTCGACCACGCCCGACCTGATGTCGGGCGTGGTCGACACATTGGGCCATTCCCAGGGGCGCGAAGATGATCGCGCATCGCGGCCTGGGCCAGACAATTCTCCCTAATTTTCTCGGGGACAGCGCGGGGGCATGAAAATGAGCGCGCATCGCAAGGCGCGATGCTTGAAGTCGGGCGACCGAGAGACAGGAATGGCGCACCGGGTGCTTCCACAGGCCGCTCTGCATTCAGATGCTGGGAGCCAGCGCGCCGTTCAGGTGACGAACCATGCCAAAGGTCTGCTCTCCTGCGGCTCACCCGATTGACCTGGACGGTCAGCCTTCTCCTCGTGCTTGCAGTCGGAGCGCCGCGCCCGCGCCCTGCATGGAGCGAGGGCGACAGGTCGCCCGCTCGCGCGCGGCCCCCGCCCCGAACGAATTGGCGAGTGAAAAAATACGCTGCGCCCATGCGGGAGCGCGACTCTCAGGCGAAATTTGCGTGGCGCCGGGGCGAACGCCATCCTAGTTCGTCCGATCGCGCGTCGACGCCTTGCTGGGCGACACATGTTGCCGCGCCCAAGCAGTAGCCCAATTCCCAGGAAAAGCGAGCGCGGCACAGCTGCGAGAACGACGTCTCGCCCTTCCGCACGCGTTGTGCGCCCCGTCCCGTTCCCCCCTCGCAATTTGCAACGTCGACGCCAACACGTGCATGTTGGAGGGAGCATCGCCGAGGCTGCTTGAGTTTTGGATGCGAAAGATGGGGCCTCCCGGATGGGACCGGCATCTCCTGGCCGGGGGCCTTATCCACACATGGTGGCATGACGACGCCTCTCGGCTGCACTCACGAACTTAGGCCAGATATCACAGGCAATGTGATCCGAAATCTCCACCCTGGGATGAGGTAGGGGGAGGGCAGGCGGAGGAGGAGGAGGAGGAGGACCCGTGTAAACCCAAGACGCATCAACGATCTTGCAATAAACCTTCCCTCCAAGCTCACGCGTAATAGGTCACTAGAAGAATTTGTTTCTTGTGCAGGAGCTGTCCCATTTGAGCACAACCGTCTGAGAATCCCCAATCGTACCAAAACACAATTTCTGAGAATCCAGCGCCGCAGATCAACGTGACTGGTGCGCCCTGGCAATCGTAAATCGTGCCAGCTCACCATTCCCAGGACTTGAACACCGCTGGTCAATGTGAGTGTTGCGTCCTGGCAGTTCTAATTCGCGCCAGAAGCCCATTCCTGGGACTTCAACCATACGAGCCGTTGAAGCTATTGCAAAACGTTCAATGCGAATGTGCGCAGCGCTAAGGCGAGATTCACATTTTCTTATGAAGGAGCCGCTGTTTTATTGGTTCTCACGAGTACGCGCGGCGCTAAGGCGAGAACCACGCTTTCATAAAACGACAGAAACGTTGTCCGTGTTCACTCGTGAAACGGTTGCGAATCGCGAGTTTCAGGATCATCAGCGTTGATGAAGTCTCATGCGAAACGCCCGGCCCGCGCTATCGACACTTCTGGGGGCGCGACAGGGGGGAGTCATTTGTAAGGAAAAGGGAATACTAGAGGCGGAGGAGAGGAGGAGGAGGAGGAGGAGGAGAAAGAGGAGGAGGCCTTTCTTCCTACCCTCGCCATCCGTCCTTCCCTGCTCATATCTCTCCTCTTTCCCTCCCTCCCCTCCTTCCTCTTCATCCCCTCCCTCCCCCCGTCCCTTCCTCCCCCCCATCCGCCCCCCCTCCCTTCTCCTTTGCCCCGACACCATTCACCCTTCCCCCTCCCACCCTCCTGCCCCCCGCCCCCCTCCTCCCTCCCTCCCCCTACCGCTCCTCCCACCAGGGGCCGTCGGGCAAGATCTCATTCGAGGACCTGAAAGCCGTCGCCAAGGAGAGAGCCCCCTCTCTGCCGCCGCCACCCTCGATGCTGCTCCCGTGGGCCGCCGCCTTGGGGCCCTGCCCCCCCTCCCCCCTCCTCCACTCCACCGCTCATCCCTCCGTCTTCCTGCAACCAAGACGCTGAAATAATGACCGCATAGCACCCCGCAATTGCGGATACGAGTGAAGGAGCTGGTCCAGGGTGGGTCGCGGGTCGGTCGCGGGTGGGTCGCGGCGGGGTGGGTCGCGGGGTGGATCGCGGGGTGGGTCGCAGGTGGGTCGCGGGCGGGTCGCGGGCGGGGACGACGACAGCAACAATGCAACAGCAACGATCCGCATTGCGGGACTCCACTTCAGCCACGCGCCCAGGGACAACGAATGACCGTTCGGCCCCCTCACTCTGACTTGGGGCTCTGGAGGGTCTTCGATTTTCGGGCCGTTCCTTAAAGCTAGACAGGGGGGCATATTCGTAGCCCAGCCTCGGCGTGGCCAGGAAAGACACTCGTTCCTTGTTCAGCGTCCCGCATGGTAGTGCTGAGGCTGTGCTCGCCCCCCTCGTCCATCCTCCTCCCTCCCCGTCCAGTTTGTTGTCCTCTTCTTCGACCGGGCGTTTCGCCTTGGACTTCCACCACTTATGACCCTGAAGCTTGAACATTTGCAACAGTGTCACAGATGGAGTGCGGGTGGCTTTCAAAGTGTGGTTTTCGCCCTAGCGCCGCGCACATTAGATTTTACAAGGCGCAAGAGTTTCACTGATTGAGGGCGGCTCGTTTTTAACATGTGGTTCGCGCCCTAGCACCGCGCATATTCGTGTCCAAAATTTACAAGAACGTCACTGATTGAGGGCGGGTGGTGTTCAACATGTGGCTCTCGCCATAGCGCCGCGCACATTCGTTTCAAACATAAATTCGATAATTGCACGGGTTGAGGGCATTTTTGTTCCAACATGTGGCCCTCATTTTAGCGCCGCGAACAATCGTTCTACAATTCGCAAAACTTTCACGGATTCCCATGAGCAACGTATCAGAAATAATGTTTTGAAAAGATTCCAGATTATGCGGGCGCAACAGTTACGTTGATTCGCGGTGGTGAAGTCCCAGGAATGACATTTTGGCACCACTCAGGCTCGCCAAGACGCAACAGTCAGGTTGAATCGTGGCGTTGGAATTCCGAGAACAATGTTCTAGCATGCTTCATAATATTCGATCGGTTGTCCTCCGATGAGGCACCTCTTTCAGTGGACATGAACTGTTGCAGGAGCCTATGAGGAGGAAGTTTGGAGGGACGGTTTATTCCAACATATCCTTCATGGCTGTTGGGTTTACACTGGTCCTCCTCCTCCTCCTCCTCCTCCTCCGTAGCCATTGGGCTCACGGCCGCAAGTGGTTCGTCCGCAGTGCTGCGGCTGCTTCGGCTCAGCCCGTGATCGGAGGGCCCTCGGCGATGGCGCGGGATGCCGTGCAGGGCGCCGCCGCGGCGTGGGACGCTGCGGACAAGCTGGTGACGCGCCTAATTCGGGAGGTCGAGGCGCTGAAGAAAGGGGTGGATGTGGCAGAACGGGGCATCGAGGTCATGGTCGGCGATGCGGAGGTGGCTATGCGGGTGTGCGCGCTGGTGCCCGCGCTGACGGACCTCGTGTCGGGCCGCCCGCCCAAGTGGATAGATCGGATTCGTCGTAACGTTAACCTACACGCCGATGCCAAGGATGTCGATTTCGGGCATGCAAGCGGCCGTGAACTACGTAGTGTCCAAGGTGGGTTTCGCTTGGAAGCGCGGCTGGCGCGGGGTTTCCAGATTTCTGCGGGCGCGCCAGTTTTTGCCCCGGGCCTAGAAAGCCGGGCGGAAGATGGGGAGGCAGCTGCGATCTCGTCGTCGGGTGCGCCGTCCTTCAGCCCGGCAGCGAACCACCTCACGGGGAAGTTCGGCCTGGGTTGCACGTGCGGGGCGAGGGTTCCCTTCACCAGTCGGGCAGAGAGAGAACTTGGCGCGTTCGAGCCCAGGCTGGTGGCGCGTTCGGTCAGACATCGCACGCAAGTGGATTCGCGGTGGCCGTGGCGAGGAGCTGAAGGATTGCGGGTCAAGCCATCGGTGCGCGCCCGTCGACGGTGTCTCCGCCGCCGATGCCGAGTTCTGCACGCTCGCTGCCACCGAGGAGTTCGGCGCCAAGGCGGCCCGAGTCTTTGAGGGGTACGCCCCCGAAGCAGCAGGCGGCGGCGGCTGCGGACAGCCCCCCTCTGATGGGGTGCCCCCCCCCTCTGAGGAAGGCGTTGAGGGTGAGCAGGCGACCGCGGCTGGGCGCCCGCCCCGCTGCCTTTCCTGTCCCTCATCTTCGGCGCGGGGCTGCTCATGCCGATCGCGCGGCAATCCAGGTTCGCCCGGGCGGTGTTCGCGCTTGATGGCGAGGGGCCCGATACCTGCATGCACGATGGTATTGGCTGCGTCGTGGATTGGGCCGTGCCCGAGGATGCGGAATTCGGAGGGCTGGGTCTTCACCAGCCCGAGCCGCCTCATCGTTGAGCAGTTTTTTTTAAGGCTGTTCGAGCGCAGTCGCGCGATGAGCGATTCGGAGTCTGCGAATCTCGAGCCGACGTCCGTGCACCCCGACGGCGGCGCGAGCTTGGAGGACGTCGTCCTCCAGAACAAGGCCGGGGGCATCGCCCTCGAGTCGGTGCGCGACTTCATGGGGGGCGCCCGGTTCAGACGGGCCTTTTTCTTGAAGGGCGTGTACCTCTTCCGGGTGGATGGCGGGGTCGGCGACCCCTGAGTGACTGGCCTCTCGCCGGTTCTGCCTCGGACCTTGGCTGGCGCCCCTCGGCGTGTTCTTGGGAAGTGCGCCGCAGACTTGGGTTCGTGCTGTCGCGCGAATCCGAGTCCTGAGGACCTCTTCGATGATGCTCCGTCTATATATGCATCCCCCTCCTCCTCCTCACCCGTCGATAGGGCGGGTCGGGCGTTTCGCCTGAGACGCCCTCAGCGCCGATGATCTTGAAATTTGAAAATTGCAACTGTCTCACGAATGGAATGCGGGTCTTTTGCCAACCTGTGTTGAGTTGGATCCTCGTTTTGAAGAGGGGGGGCCCGCGTTTCCACTTTTCCTCCTCCTGTTCCTCGTCATCCTCCTCGTCCTCGTCCTCGTCCTCCTCCTCGTCTTCCTCCTCCTCCACCTCCTCGTTTTCTTCCTCCTTCTCCCCTCCTCCTCCTCTTCCGCCGCCTCCTCCTTCTTCTGCCTCTTTATCATCGTCATCATCATCCTGCTCCTCCTCCTCAGCCATTTTCTTAGGTTTGCCCAAGTGCGTGGCTTCTGGCAGGTGTCGCCCTGCTTTCTCTCTCTTCCCCTCCTGCGGGCCCCCCACGGTCGTCGCCGAGCGGCTCGGCACTGTCGCCGGACATGTTCGTGCTGGGCGGGCGGTTGCGTTGTCGGCAGTGGCGCAGCCTGGTGATGGCTTTAAGATCAAGATTGTGGTCACGGCTGCCCCTGGTATCATTGGCCACTCGGCCCATGGCCACATATTGCAACAGCTGCGCGCCACCCAGGAGCATGCCAATAACATGATCACGATCGACCGCGGGCACGTGTTCAGCAATGGCATCTGTATGGTCTTGCTCTGGCTTCGCCTTCGGCCTGGCGGCGTTGGTGGCGCCGTTCCTGGGCCTGATGACGATGGCGACGGCGGAGATGATGACCACGGCGGCGGTCCTAGACGGCGACGGCACCGACATGGCGAGCCTGATGATCGTGACCCATGATGGGAGGGGCTCTGACCCGTGGAGTGTCGGTGGCCTTTTTCGCGGCGGCGGCGGGACTCCTCTTCGCGAATATCTTCGACGCCATGCTGATCAATCTGGAGGCTCTGCTCCTGCCGACCTTCCAGCGGTGCCGCCTTTCCTTTTCAGCTCTGAGGCTCCCGCTTTTTATCCTGCTCTGGCTGGTGGCGCGGTTTCTCTTGGTCGAGCTTGCTCTGCTGGCCTTCCAAACGCCCACGTCCGTCCCGATGGCGCTACGACCCTCCTCCGTGAGATGGCTGGTGAAGAAGCTGTTCATGCAGAAGCTGCCCATGCAAGAGCTGTGCATGCAGAGGCTGCTGGCGCCAAAGCAGAAGCTGTTCATGCAGAGGCTGTTCATGCAGGAAGTGTTCATGCAGAAGCTGTTCATGATGCTGGCCTACCTCCTGCGCCTCTTCTTGCGTCGCTCCAAGACATGCTCCACAGGCATCTGGAGAAGTTTGCGGAGTCTATTGCTGTGTGCTGTGGTGACCCGCGCGTGCTGCACCCTCCTGAAGGCGGTGCTGCCCTTGTGCGTTCCTCGGATGATGATGCGCCTCGTGGGCCTGCCCACGACGGTCCTGATGGCTTTGCAGGTACGGCTGCTCCTCTTCCGACGGATGCCGCGGCTCTCCCAGGTGGTGGCCCCGATTTTCCGGCCTCTTCGCTCACGCCGGGTGGGCACAGACGAGTTTCGGCTTCTGAATTGGCCCGGCTTCAACAATTTAGGAGGGGAGTGATTGGTGTTTTTGATGAAGAGGCCGCATTTTATCGTGCTCTTCCCCGTTTTGAGAATGGCCCTGGGCCTTCATCGCGTGCTCGTTTTTTACCAATCGACATGCTCGATTGGGTTATACGGCTTTGTGTCGGGGGAGAGGCTTCGGTTGTCTGACCCTTTTTAGGGTCGGCACGGCCAGGTGGTTGCTTTGCGGGGGCGCCCCTGGTGATGCGACATACCCCATAGTGCAGGATTCAGGGGAGGGTGCTTCGGTGGTCTGGCCTTTTTTGGGGTCGGTACGGCCAGGTGGGTGCCCCGCGCGGGCGCCTCTGGTGACGCCCCAAACCCTGACGGTTCAACAGGACGAAGCTCGCTGCAAGTCCTGGGGGAAGGGAGGGGGGGAATACATAAAAAAGATAGCCAGCGCGACCCTACCTAGGAGTTGGAGCCTCTAGGAACGCAACATTAGCAGGAGCGGTAAACGCCGTCCTCCTCCTTCGCCTCATCGTCGTAGTTGTAGCAATAGCGGTAGTAGTAGTAGTAGTAGTAGTAGTAGTAGTCGTCGTCGTCGTCGTCCTCGTCCTCGTCCTCGTCCTCGTCCTCGTCCTCGTCCTCGTCCTCGTCTCGTCCTCGTCCTCGTCGTCGTCCTCGTCGTAGTAGTAGTAGTAGTAGTAGTAGTAGTAGTAGTAGTAGTAGTAGTAGTACTCGTAGTCGTAGTCGTAGTCGTAGTAGTAGTAGTAGTAGTAGTAGTAGTAGTAGTAGTAGTAGTAGTAGTAGTAGTACGTAGTAGTACGTAGTAGTACGTAGTAGTACGTAGTAAGTAGTAGTAAGTAGTAGTAAGTAGTAGTAGTAGTAGTAGCAGTAGCAGTAGTAGTAGTAGTAGTAGTAGTAGTAGTAGTCGTAGTAGTAGTAGTAGTAGTAGTAGTAGTAGTAGTAGTAGTAGTAGTAGTAGTAGGACTCGTAGTAGTAGTAGTAGTAGTAGTAGTAGTAGTAGTAGTAGTGGTGGTAGTAGTAGTAGTAGTAGTAGTAGTAGTAGTAGCGCCAGAACCGCCGACGCCACGCCGTAAGTGAAGCAGCAGCAGAAGCAGGCAGGAAACAAGGCAGCACGCATACATCGTGTTCCACACAACATGCATGGAGCTTACGTGCGCGCACACGTATAATTATATATATAGCAGCATCAATAGTAGATGCTGCGTTATGCTCTGGTCTGCTAGGTTCTGCTATGCCATGCTGTGCAATGCTAGGCTAGGCTAGGCTATGATATGCTATGCGATGCTATGCTGCGTTATGCTATGCTGCGCTATGTTTTGTTACGCTATGCTATGCTATGTGTTTGCTTTGCCTTCGATGATGCCTTCACGTTTGCCTTTGCTTGTGCTTTTGCTTGGCACCCACCCAGGGAGCGCAACTGGGGGAACCGCGCGTTTGCTTTTACCTTTACTGTTGCTTTCGCTTGGCTCCCAGGGGACTGGGGGAAAGGCCCGGGGCGGTTTCCACTGCCCGGCCCCTTTTAAGCCAAGAGAGTAAGAACCCTTCGAGGCAGAGCCCAGGTAGGGAAAACGATCAATCCCAGCGCGACCCGACCTAGGAGTTGGAGCCTCTAGGAAAGCAACATTAATAGGAGCGGTAAACGCAGTCCTCCTCCTTCTCCTCATCGTCGTGCAGAATCTTCGTGAATCCTTAGGGTTCAAGCTGCCCCACTGAGGGCTCAGGATGGCCCACAGACGGTCAACATGCATGGAACATACGTGCGCACACACATATATAAGTATATATATGTATATGTATATGTATATGTATATGTATATGTATATGTATGTGTATGTGTGTATATATATATACATATATATATATATATATCAGCAGCAATAGTGGATGTTGTGCTGCGCTACGCTTTGCTCTGCTATGTTATGCGATGCTACGCTATGCTGCGCAATTCTATGCTGGGCTAGGCTAGGCTGTGCTATGCTATGCTATATTGCGCTATGCCCTGCTGCGCTATGATATGCCATGATATGCTATGATGTTGCTTTGCCTTCGCTTTGGCCTTCACGGTTGCCTTTGCTGTTGCTTTTGCCTGGCACCCAGGGAGCGCAACTGGGGGAACCGCGCGTTTGCTTTTACCTTTGCTGTTGCTTTCGTGTGGCTCCCACGGGACTGGGGGAACCGCCCGGGGCGGTTTCCACTGCCCGGCCCCTTTAAGCCAAAAGAGTAAGACACCTTCTAGGCAGAGCCTAGGTAGGGAAAAAAACAAAAATCCTGCTCCTGTTCATGTTCCTCCACTTCCTCCTCCTCCTCGTCCAGCCCCCCAGGCTCAGGAGAATCCAAGGAGGGGGGGTTCATTGCACCGACAGGAGGTGCAGAGAGGTCGCTCGACTTCTCTCCCGCGCGAGGCCCCATGCTGCCAGCGGCGCAGGCACGGGCCGCCCTCCGCGTGCTCGGGTACAACCCGATGTACGCGACGGGCCATCGCCTGTCCGATATCCTCACCGCCACCCCAGCAGCCGACGCTTTGTTGCTTGCGGGGACTCAGGAAAGTTGTCGGCGAGGAGCAGGAGTATTGAGGAGGCGGGTGGAGGGCCGTCTCGTCCTAGAGTCGGTATTTCAACCTGGTCCTTTTACAAATAACAGTGCTGGCTGTGATTTTTGTCTGGGCCATCGGTTTCGAGACAAGGATGTGGTGCAGACCTGGGGATCCCCCCCTGAAGCTGGTGGCCGAGCTATTGCGGCCAGAATCAAGAGGGGGGCCATGGACGTCACTTTCGGGGTCCTGTATTTCCCGCCCCAGCCCTCCAAGAGGGGACAGGCGGGGGCATACTTCGGCACGGTGCAGGCTCTGAAAAACTGGTGGCGGGGCATACTCCAAGAGCTCCCCGCACGTACCCTCCCCATTTTCTTTTCGGACCTAAACGACGGCATGGGACTCAGCCGAGTAGCGGGTTCCTGGACCAGTCCCCTGTCGGAGGCACTAGGAGAGACGACACAGGAGGCACGTCGTCGAGGATCTGGGGAGGAGGTGCGCAAACTGTTAGATGAGCAGCACATGATCGCGCCAAGTACGTTCTACCCGTATGAGCACTCGTAGTATTCTTCGGCTAACCCTCCTTCTGCTTCACGGTTGGACAATTTCTCCCTGGCAAAAGGTTATCAGCCGAGGATCAGACAGTGTGGGACCCTTCGGGAACTAGGAGCTCACTTACAGGCTGTCCGAGGGGTACCTCCACGGGACCACCTGCCCATGCGCCTGACTCTGGAATATGTCAAAGACTCCCACGAACTCCCACGCCAAGAATGCCAACGCATGTGCCCCTCCGCTCTGATGCAAGCAATAAGCAAAGGAGTGGGGGAGCTAGCTTGTTTGAGGGACATCGCGGCTGCTATTGACCTTCGTCATAGTGAACTAGTCCAGTTGACAG